GGGTGAGGCGTGAGAGAGAGGGGAAGGAAAACAGATAACAGCAGGAAGGACAGTGGGGACGGTGAAGGATGGAGAGAGGGGGGACATGAAGACAGAGGAGGTAGAGGGGGATTACAAAACACTTTGCTCCCACACTGATGCATGTGTGAACGTACGCCCGTACACTGACACACACACACACACACACACACTGTATGTGCACATGAAGTGACACATACATTGAAGTCCAGGGTGAGCAGTTTCCACCCACCCCAGTCATCGACATTAGATGGATTCTAGTGGCTACTAGTTTGGTTATAAAGTCAAAACACTACCTCTCCAGTAATTATGAGGAGCCAAGATGACGGTGAGAAGCGTGGCAGTTTGTGTGCACTGATACATCATGCTGGAGATACTTAGAATGAACAGCAGCAGTTATCAATCACCGCCTGCACGCCTTCTGGCTGTATGAGCACAGAGGAGTGTAGAGACACGCACACGCATGGACACACACTCACACACATGACAGAATGGTTGGCAGCAGACACATATACAGAAGGTAAGGTGTGAAGGAAGATGTAAATCCAAGTGTCTTTACCTCATTGCTCAACAACGCGGCGTTCAGTGTTCGGCTTATTTCAAACATGTTCAGATTCAGTTTACTTTTCTCGGCCAGTCCTTTTGTTTTCAGGTTTTCTTCAGTTCTTTAGCTCTCTCTCCCCCGCTTTTCTGCCTACTACTGGGAGTCAGTCCCAGGTTCACAGTAGAAAAAAAAAAAAAAGAATAAATGAAAATCAATTAAAAAGCACGGAGGGTAGAAAAAAATCCTCTTTAATTTTCTGATTTTGGAGTTGTGGTTTTTCAGTCCTTTTTTGGCTGTCTCCTGTCTGCTGATGCACTTTCTGCTGGCTTTAGAGGAGAAGTGGTGGTGGTGGTGGTGGTGGTGGTGGAGTTTGTGCCCACGATGTCCGCACAGTCAGAGTCAAAATGCTGTTTTTTCTTTTTTTTTTTTCTTGTTTTTTTTTCTTCTCTTAAATCTCCCAAGAGTCAGCACATTAAAACAGGCAGTCAGGCTGTTGGCGTATCAAGCTGATGGGCTGGTTGGCTCCCTTATCTGTCCACGGCACACTAGCTCACACAATACGCTCCGATCCTCACACTGCTTGGTAGCAGATCAGCCTGTCCCAAAACATAGCAGTCAGTTTAAACTCCCCTCCCTTTTGCTCGCTCTCTCTCTCTCTCTCTCTCTCTCTCTCTCATGCTGTATCACTCCCTGTTGCTCTCGTCTTTGCTCTCTCTCTCTCTCTCTCTCTCTCTCCCTCCCTCCAACCATCTGCATCATTCTCCCTTCACCCCCATTCTCTCGCTCACGCTTTCCCTCCATTGCTTAGCCACTGATGCAGCTACAGTTCACTGTGCTACCACAAGGTGGGAAGACTGTTCCTACAATGACACCCTCTCTGCTACATCCTCTCCTCTCAGAGCCACACCTATCCTGTAGTATTTCTTCTTCATCCTTTTATGTGTTTTTAAGAGTAGAAATCCTTGATGTTTTTTTGTTTCTTTTTTAAGCTCACATCCCTTGTTCCATTAAATATGATGCTAGGTTTAATTGATCAGTTCTGACCAACCAAAATAGGACATTGTTGATGTAGAACTGGACCACCAAAGATTAGAGACGGGAAAAAAAGTGTAGAAAAACAACCCCGTGTATGTCGATCAGTGACGGCGATGACTAAAGAAATGTGTGGCGACGCAAGAGAATTAGCACGACACAAAAACGGAGTGGAAACAGAAAGCGGATGAAAGAAGTGAGGGCTGGGCTGATGTGAGCATCAAGGTCAGGCAGATGTCCTTCTCCTCAGCAGGGTGTGGTGCAGAGATGACGAAGCAGCTGGTCACAGGCGAGGCAGGAGATCCCAACAACGGAGCAAACAAACACAGTCACCCAAAAAACCTCGAAATTAGGAGCCAAAATTATGACTAACGCTTTTTTTTAAACTTATTTGACAGTTATTTTCATTCAATGACTCAACTTTTCCTGTATCTGCTTTAAGCTGAATGTGATTAAGTCCAGATTTCCATTAAATGGGAGTTTGTTAAAGAAACTCATAGATGTGGATAGATTTTTTTTTTTTTATTACCATTTGTAAATGCACATTTTCGTGGCATCCTTCTTGTGGCTGCCTCAGCCACGGAGAGTGTGTTTTGTCAGTGCTCTGGATGTGCTTTTTGTCATCTTGGATCAGAGCGGGCAGAGTGGCCAGTTAATAGCAGCCTATTGACACTGGACCATCTGTTTAGGTGGAAAATGTCCAGAGAGGAAGAGAGAGAGTTGGGGGAGATAAAGTGACAGACACAAAGAGAAGCTGGTTATGATAAATCAATAAAAAGGGTGAACAGAGAAATACAAAGCAGAGCAGGTTTTAACAGATGTTTATGTCTGGAACAGAGAGAAGTGTAGACGCACCAGGAATATAGCAGAGAAGACTGTGGACGTTGTTGTTGTTGTTTTCTTTTTTTTTAATTAGCACATTTATTTCAGTCAGTGAGAGAATATGTGAAGGTATTGCCAACAGCATATCTGTGTTATGACACTGTTTTTCTCACTTGGCTTCAGTTCCATTTAATTGTTTCCTCCTCAGGAAATAAAAAGGACTGTTGGCCACATGTCTGTTCTGTTAGGGCTGTAGTCTGAGGGGACGAGCGCTGAGGAAGAGTTGTCAGGGGTGGGGGGCGGTGGAGTCGGTGGAATCATGCAGAGTGATGGCTGGTTTCTCCGTCAGCTGCCTCTCAAGCCTTCCTCCCTGACCTGGCCTCACTCCCAGGAGCAGGCTGATTGCTGTCACCATAGTGATTCTCTGTGTCCTGCCAGCTGCTCTTTGCATCCACCGCCAACCCCACCAACCCCGCCCTCCCACTCCACCCCGTTTCTAAATCTCTGCCACTTCTGCTGTGTGTTTTTTTTCTTTATTATTCCTCCATGACTCCCTCCCTTCAATAATGAAAGACCTAATGTCTGCACCTCCTTAGCTGATTAAGCTTCCTGGAGAACAAATATAATGGAGTTTTGTTTGGCCAGATACACACTCACAGATACACACACATCAAGCTCCAGGCTGGGAACCTAAACGAAAAATCTTTGTGTCACTTTTCCTCTCTTACTTGTCATACTGAGCCACAAGCGCTGAGCTATTTGATCATTTTACAGTTGAGGGGGAAAAAAAGAGCAGCTTTCTGAAATAATGAAAAGCAAAGCTTGAAAAAAAATGTTTTTGCTCTGCCAGAGCTGCTGTTTCCCAGAGGGCTCTCTGATATTGTAGCGCTGTTGCGTGTTCTCCAGTCATCCCCAACCCATGCCTGAAATAGCCACACTCTCTTATAGCATCTGGGTAATCTGTATTTACTGATGACAGGTATGTCTACATGTCAGGGCCCTTCAAACTGCACAAATCATTAGAGGTCAAAAACAATGTTTTGAGAAACATGTAAAAACACTCTCTCGTGAGAGATAATTAAAAACGGAGACGCCGTGGTGAGAAGTTTTCCTTCTCTTTCATGTTAGTCTATTTTTCGCATGATGGACGAGTTCATTAAATCATAGCTGCACTTTGCGAACATCATAACAAGAAATATACAGTACTGCGTGCACATATAGAGTTACTCAGACAGCACCAGAGAGGGGTTATTGTTGAAAGTGCTGCTATTTTTATTCATCAAACATGAAAATGGAAACGAGAAGACGTGGAGGCCACAGAGAAGAAAGATTGCAACACCATCATCGTCCACTGTTAAAATGAAGGGAACTACTGTACGTGTAAACACATCACAGTCTCATCACGTGTAATTGGAGGAAATTGTGAGTTTGAATTGTGAAGGATGAAATGACTAACTCTGAGCACTGGCCAATCAAATTAAGTTATATGCAGTGTGTAAGGTGACTCGTCCACTTTTCTATCCTCTTTGTGAAGGGCAAAAAACAAAAACAAAAAAAACAACAACAACAACAACAAGGGGGACGGTTATTGTGTCTGATGCATTCCTCATTCATTTCAATCATTGTCGACCTTTTTACTGGTGTAGTGTTAAAGTAATGACAAATCACAGAACAGTGAAAAAAGTGAAAAAACATGAATATATGCAATATAAAATAAAATGGTCTTAGCAGTAGATTTAAAGAGGGACAAGAACTGCAGGTTACTTTTTTACATAAAAGGTCAATATATCAGCCTTTACAGAAAGTATAGATAGACGGATGGATGGATGGATGGATGGATGGATGGATGGATGGATAGATACAGTAGATAGAGCTTTAATTATCCCTCGGGAGTTCCCTTTGGGAAATTAAGGCTCCAGCAGCAGTACAGCACCAAAACAACAGTAAAAATATACAGATAAGTCAAATACAATAATAGCAGGGATGGCATGTCTTTGCTTCTGATTGTTGATGCTGAATATCAAACACAGATCCCACACAGTCAGAGGAAATGTTGCCCTTTACTTTGGTTCCCTTGTTCGGTCCTGTCACCACAGGCACATCAGGGAAATGAGCAGTGCGTTTTGTTCCAGGAATTGCAAAACTGCTCATTTAATACATTTAATCAGGTGAAGCCTTTGTAACAGGAAAGGTGTGTAGGACCAGGCTTGATTGGCCTTGATGGCATTTATGCTCCTATTGTCTAATTCTAATTCAGGCTCTGTGGCTGCTGTCAGTACTGATTGACTTCTATATACCTGGATATAGCTGAGGTGTGAACAATATAGTGATTGCAGACCAAATGATTTTTATTTATTTTTTTGCTGCTGCCTGCAGATTATGTGTTTGAAAAATAAACATTATTGAGCATCACCACACAGAGATTTTTTAGTTTTAGAAATTAGAACATTTAAATATACGCATATATATATGGATGGATTGTAATTCTTCCAGTTACAGTACTTTTTTAAAACGGAAATAAAAAAATGATTGAGTGATTAACATAATACTATAAAAGCAAATTATCTGGACCGAGTAAAACCGTGTTTATAACTAAGTGTTATATAACGATTTCAAATCTAACGGGTGCTTTTAACCGCTACCGACGACGCGACAGCGCCCCTCTTCCTCTTCCTCCTCCGTTGCCCCGGTAACGCACAGAGAGCGTCTGTGACGGAATGGAGAGGAAGATGGAGGGGAGCACCGTCAGAGACGTCGACACTGGTGTGTACATCTTATTTAAACCTGCTCTTTTCTTGATTTACTACCGGCAATGGCAGGTGGGTGTTATCTTGTGACCTGCCCGATAATAGGTGTGCGTTTGGTGCTGACTGGTGCCGTTTTGGACGCTGCAGTGCACTGTGCTAACCGTGTAGCTAGCAGGTAGTAGATGTAAACAAGAGTGGTCTAACTGGGTTTTTGTGGACAAGCGCCCCCGTACCTAACCTTCTAGAGGCAGATAGTATAATATATTGATATGGTTTTCCCACTGACATCTTTGCACACTTTTTTAAACAGTAGTTTCGAGCAGTAGTAAGTCCAGAACAGGTGTAGAAGCTGCTGCTGCTGATTAGCACTGTTACCTTTAGCTCCCCTAGTACTGTGAGCTATGGACTGACGTTGTCTGTTACAATGTTGTACTTCATCCCTAATATCCTTTCAATATCACACTGCTCAATCTGCACTGTGAATCTCTAAAAATACTTCATCCTTTAACTAACTCTGTGTTTTTGTTGAAAACATAAATAGAAAAATGAATTTAAAGAATTAATCTAACTTGATAAACTAATAGAGCAAGGAATAAATACACAGGTATGCACATGGAATTCGACAACAGCTTAAAATCTTAAAATTCCTAAAAAGATAAAAAATAAATCATAGATTATTATTATCTATTTTACATTTGTAATAGCTTTTCATGTTTGAGTTTCTCTCTAACTGAGACTCTAATTGAAGCTGCATCACTGAAAATCAAGTTTATAAAGGAAAATATTTATTATTAAGAATGCATTTAATGGAAAACTACACTTGTTTTTCAGGAGGAGAAACAGGAGGAGAAGACGTCTTGGTGGGGAATGTCAACAAGCTGATGGTGAGCCCACCAGGTTACTCCGGACCTCAGCGAAAAGGTCATCTAATCTTTGACGCCTGCTTTGAGAGTGGTGAGTAGTGAGGTCTGAGAAGAACAGCACACATGAACAACAACAACTGTACATTTAGGTTTGACATTAAGCACATAAACAGCATCAAAAACAGATAGAAATATAATGAGATAAAAAGCTAGGACTGTGGATTAGTCATGATTAAATGTGATTTATTATTCAACCATTATTATAAAGTCCAAGGAAATCACCATTACTAAATACAATGTATTTTTGTATATTGCTGAAAGTAATAACAGCAGGTAGATATTTTGTTTTCATTTGTTAATAATCTATATAATATAATTATTAGTATTTACTCAAAATAAGACTCAAAATGTCGTTTTTTAGAGTTAGTGAACTTTAGTCCTTACTTGACAGAGGTGACCTGGGCACTGGTGACTTTGTGTTTAAGGGATTTAGGTCTGGAAGGTTTCAGGTTTGAGTCCACCAGCTGCCAAGTAGCCACTGAGGTGCTCTGAGCATGACACCGTCCCCACACACTGCTCCCTGTTCACTGTGGTGATGGGTTAAAAGGTTAAAAGGTAAGAGGTTTAAAAACCATGTGCTTTGTGAAACGAAAACCTCCCCACAGTGTGTACAAATAACAACATGGCTATCAACTGTGTATCAGAGCAATGATACGTGGATAGATGGTGGAATTAGATGATATACGGCGCCCAGACTTCCATTCATGCATTAAAATGTGGCAAACATTTCGACCAGATCAATCCTCACAAATGTATAAATGTGATTAACATATTTATTGTGACAGTGCTAGACAAAATAACACAATAATACAATAATCAGGGCCAGTGTTAAAGGGAATAAACATTATCATGTTAGCTATTCCATCTCCAATATAAAATATATGTCTATTACTAATGTAAAATCCAAAAGGTTGATCCTATTTAAATATTTATCTCTAACATATTCCCTTCCAAACGTCCAAGGTGTATGGGTCATTCTCAATGACCCCTAAAAGAAGTTGTATTTACATGCATTTGCAAAGAACTATGTCTTTTTAGAGGTTCATAGGTTTGACAGAGAGAATCATGGACTATAATCTGATGACGATGTGCTGACCAGAAGCCATTGAGATGCTGCATATTCATAGAAAAGTTTTCATAAGACTATGTCAAATTACGAAGCTTTAAATAAGATCAGTTATTTCCAAATCAAGAGTGGATATTCATAAAATAGCATGCTGTAAAAAATAAGCAACATCTGAGGAATGAATACATAGGAAACTGGATACACAGAGCACAGAGAAACTGTTGTTCAGTGAAGGGAAGAATAGAACTATAAAACACAGGACTAAAACTGGTTATTTAAAGTGGGCTGAGTCGATATCAGTGGGACAATGATCTTTTTTAAATGAAGTTGGATATTATTTATTTTCTTTTGCCTCAGATGATAGCAAGAGGATCTCAGGCATTGATTAATGAGTGCTAAGGTCATACCATGAGATCAACTAACATGCCTGTGTCTTTGGCTCCGGATACATCTACTGAATGATTCATGGAATTGATATTAATCTTTTTCCAGTAACTGCTCTACTAAAGTTAGAATGAGGGATGAATTGATATTTGTCACATAATGTCAGATTGATTGGATGGTGTTTTTTGTTTCCTTTCTAAAACTAAAAACTACTTTTGTTTCATGTTTTGATGTTGAGGCCTGTGTAAATAATGTAAACCAGTAGGATTCTAATATAATTGTTAATATTGATTGGTAATATGTATTGCATATATATTATAGTAGGAGTACAGCCCCACAGATCAATGGGATCTTGCTGCTCCATGTACCCAACAAACAAAGGCTTGCAACAGCATGTGTTTTAAGGCATATTAACTTGACAACCACCTCCCAGCAGGGGGCGAGGGTGTAGCTCTGGGAGAACATTACGGGGTCGAATCCTGCCGTCTAACCGTTACATGTGGGGAGTGAAAAATAAAGAACAAACCGTCATAATATCACTTTTCTCATCACTGTTCATGTGCCATTATTCCTATTCATAAACTGGCATGAAGTGTGCACCCTGCAGGGGAACGTGGGAAGTGGGATTGCCAGTTTGTGTGCACTACCCTGGATATGATTTTGTGTTTGTCTGCAGTAGTCATCAGGCTGATGCAGATGATTTCACACAAAATAAAGGTCAGTTTTATAGAAGCGTAATATTGAATGTCTTTGTTATTCACAAAAGTATTCATAAATGATAACATTTAAATGTAATTTACTCGTCCTTCTCTTAAGGAGATAAAACTCTGTTTTCTTCAGGTTATTTTTTTCCTCTGATGGTGTTTGATTGGGAATGAAACAATAATGATCATTTCTAATATTACTGACAGGGTATGGTCACACTGGTCTTTTTTTTATTGACTTTTTGCCCCTGGGATTTAAGTCCCATTTAATCAAATGTAAAGGTTAAACTTTACTGCTATAGATTGTATTTACTGCTGTATGTTTTTAGCGTAGCTGAAACACTGAAACCCATTTGCATGTGTTTTCATTGTGCTTACTTCACTTTATCACACTCATTTTGTTTGTTTGTGTGTGTGTGGGCGTGTGTGTGTGAGACGTTTTGACAATGTTGCTGACTAAAGTGCAATCTGCCTCGACAAAGGATGACAGCGACAGTGCACACACATTGTTTTACTGCACCTCTGGACTGTGCAGCAGGGGTAATTAAGAACTCATTGATTAATCCGACTGCTGTTCGCCAACAATGACTTGCATGGTCAAAGAAATTCACCGGGGGTGACAAGTGTTTAATTGGGTCCATTGATAGGCACAACTCATAGACTCATCTGGCTTAACAATCAATTCACTCAATACAATCCAACTTGTGTGACAGGCGCAGGGAAGATATGAACCTGTGCAGCTGTCCCTGTGACCCAGGTGGACAACGTCTCTCAAATGTTGGACACTGGACTTCTATTGTTATTTGCTAACTACGTATACTGACATTCAGGGCAGTCTGTTGGCACTTTATTCCACTTCTATTGAGAATTACATTCTTTGTGTTGGAAATAGAATCTGTTTTAACCAACAGTTGAATTCAGTCAAGTTATTAATTACTTTTAACCATTTTTCCCAGGTTTGTTGTTTCAGCTAATCAGCCGTTTTCTTTGTTGCTTCAGTGAACACAACAAATCTTATGTTGATTTATGATTTTACACTTAAGACTAAATTATTTACCCTATCAACAACAATTTTATAATGTAAATTATTAATTTGTCAGACTCCAGATGTAGTATTTTCCTTTCATTTCCAAACTACAATAAAATACAGTAACATCTCGCAGTAACTCTGTTTTGCGAACAAAACCTGGTAAAAACACATGATTAAGGATGGACTTTTTAAAAAAGAACATTGTTAAGCATCTGTTTTTGTTTTAGTTCTTTTTGTTCCTACAATGCTGTGTTCAAAGCTAACATTGGGGGTTAGCCAAACAACACTGGTTGGTCTTCCATCACTGCGCTGTACTGTACTATACAGCCACTGTTTCTTCTTTGCCACTGATAAATGAACTTTAGTCACACTACTGCCACCTACCTGCCTGTTGTGAATGCATTAGTGTTACTGGTTTTTGCTGTCCTGTAATTAATTAGTCAGCATTAATCAACATCTATGTCTTCAGGTCCCAGCTGTTCTGCGACTCTATTTCTGATTTTTTATTTGATACTTTAGTTGGCTGAGTTAGCCTGGATTGCCGGTAGCCTCCTGTATAGTTTCCAAATAAGATCTATTCATTGGAGTGGGAGTGAGCACGTCTGACATCTGATGTATTAAGAGGCACTCCCAGTCTTTCTGTCTCTCTTACATGTCCTTGGCAATGGTAAGGCTTCAGTGCTTAAATCACTAAATGGCCTCTCCAGTTTTCCCTCTAAGCAGTTTTCTTCCCTCCCTCTTTCTTTTAAGTCGGCTGCTGAGAATGGAGATGAATTTGACTTGTTTAGGGGCTGAGTGTATGACCATCTCCTCAGATTTATGTTGTTATTGGGTCATTTTTATCATGTTTAGGTTTTTTTTTACCATTTGTTTGTTTCAAAACAAATACGTACAGATGATCAATCTGAGAATCACGTCACATGACTTTATGTTCGGTTAAATCATCCATAAATGGCATTCACAGACTCAGACGACTTCAACGTTACTTGGGAAATTTAAGACAACAAATGTTGAGTTTCAAGCTCTGTTTGAAATGGATTTGACATGCTGTGACACCTCCACCCCTCAGTGTATCCAGATAACCCTAGGCCCGCAAAGGAATCACTGTGGTAATGTTTTTAATTTGACCTATAAATATTGGATCCAAACAGCATTATCACATGAAAATGTCAGCAAAGAAAGTGTTGGTACAAAAACACAACAAAAGTTGGAGACTTCAGAATCTTCTCTGCCAGAAACACAACTATAGATTATTTCTACATCTGCCATTGTGTTAAAAAATCTCTCATAAGTGAGAATTACTGTTATTGGGTTTTTGCATTTCAAACTCCGTGAACCCAGTTTTAAAATCTGTGATGTAATATTGTCCCTGAATTGACTGTATATATTCAAAGGAAACATTCTGGCTGTTTACTTTTCTGATTTATGTAGAAAACCACTCTCAGCGATTAGCTTTACTGATGTGCCAGGAATTGTTTGATAACACAAATTCATCTACATTTACACACACACAAACACTCAAACAGTGACGACTGAAAATGTGACATGAGCAGAATTTTGATGACCTCAAACTCATACATTTGAGTTTGAGGTCTGACCTCTATAGTGCAGAGTAAACATTGTTGAAATTCATGTAAGGCAGACGCTGTGATCTTAACTTCATCTCAACACTGGACTTGTATCAGTCAACCTGTGTGGCTGTGCCCTTGGTTTGTTGAACAAACAGTATTGATTGTAATTATTAGACCCATGATGCCAGTCTATTGTAATTTAAATATTTGTAATAGATTGTTGGTATAAATTAACTACATGGTTAGTAGTTAAAGTAGTTAGTGTAGAGAAAGTTA